ATGCTGGATCGCCAAGCACTTGGGTCTCCTCCTACAACTTCTCCGGAAATAGAACTGATCCCCTGCTGTGCCCTTTTATCCAAATTTTCATACCGTTCAAGACGGCTGTTTGCGCTGATTGTAGGATAAAGTCCGGCAAATATCTGCCGGTAGATGGCATTCGAGATATGAATGTCTTCCACTGTCGCCCGCACCCGTGCGGAATTGTTCAGGGCGGCCTTGATCACATCTTGATATGTAATGGTTTCTGCAAGGGAGAGAGATGGTCCCTCTATCAATAGGGTGAATAAGGTGAAGCCAACGAATATAAGACGATACAACATAAAAGATTCTCAAGTCGTTGAAGAAGATAGGGACAGCGTCTTGCAAGACGCTGTCCCCGTTTTGAGTGCTCAGGCCCCAGGCTGGTGCCAGCTCTGGGCCAAAGTGTTGATGTAGGTATGGTCAACCCGCATGGCATTGAACTTCTGAATGACGTCCAGACCCGGATCATCGTTAATGCTGCTCATCGTGTTGATGATATTTTCGATATCCGCCCTCGTTACGTAGTAGCCGTCGGTCACTTCGAGTCGCTCCATTCCGTAATTGGGTTGACAAAACTGACCCGCCACTTTCATGTAATTGTTGGCATCGATAAACAGGTACAGATCTTTTTTTTGCTTGACGATAACCGGTTCTGTTTCTGAGATACCATCTGTCATTGTCACTGTATCCATATCTCCGACATGGCCTGCGGTTTCAGTGATGGTATCTTTTCCATCCATCCTGTGGAAGATATAGGTGTCCCTCCCCGTGCCGCCAACCAGTGTATCATTCCCGGTTCCGCCGTTCAGGGAGTCAGCGCCCTCGTCGCCGGAGAGATAATCATTGCCATCTCCTCCGGAGAGCATATTTGCCGAAGTGTTCCCATAAATCTTATTGCCCAGAACATTCCCTGTCCCGTCGATCGCATCAGACCCCGTTAAGGTCAGGTTCTCTACATTATCAGACAGAATATAGCTGATGCCGCTTCTAATGGAGTCTGTACCCTCACC